GGGGCTGGCCCACACAATCCACATATACATATCAGCCCCTTTTCCTTCCAGAGGGATCCCCCGACTCTTGACACCAAGTGCAGTCAAGTCAAAACCAGTCCCGTTCGTCCAGATACAAGCTTTACAAGATCCAACAATCCCAATTACATTTACGGTTTACGATCTACGATTCCTATCGTTCATCGACTCACTGCGACTGTGACAAAACTATTTGTTTTATACTCTATTAATTTAATTTATTCTTTTTATTCTTCTTTACGTGACTTATATTTTCACAGTATAACTAGTTATCTTCTCAGCTTGTATTTAACATATCATTTACTTAGTTAACATCTATCCATCTATACATCTTTCATTCCCCTCTGCCTGCCTTCACATCCCAACTCATCGTGGGATCTTGGTTTTTATTTTTTATATTGAGTTATTTCATTCACTTATCTTATCTACGTTTACTTTTACTTTTTTCTTTCTTTCCCCTTCTTCTCTTTTCACATGGCTTCCAGCTTCAAGTTTTCAGCTGTTCAGCTGTGTCGTTTTTCTTTATTTCTTATTTGATTTTTTTTTTTTTTTTTAATGTCTTCTTCGGCGGAGCATGAGACGCGAAACTGAGAGCGAGAGAGAGGGAGAGGGAGAGGGAGAGGGAGAGGGAGAGCACAAGGAAAGAAGGAAAGAAAGAGAGAAGCAGACAAATAGGTAATATCCCGCCGACGCCACGTGAAGGGAGAAGTCGATGGATGGAGGCGAGAAAGGGGGAGGGAAAAAGAAAGAAAGAAAGAAAGAAAGAAAGAAAGAAAGAGAGGGCTCCAGTGGCGTTGCTTGTTGGTTCTTTAGATGATGATGATGATGGTGGTGGTGGTGGTGGTGGTGGTGGTTTGGAAGGGGGTTCAATTTTTGCGACTTCTGCTCTTATCCATGGTCTCTTTGACAAATAAAAAGAAGAGAATAAAAGATGAAAAAACGAAAAAGGAAAAAAAAATATGAAAATGAAAATGAAAAAGAGAAACTCTTCGTTGGCCCCTGAATGAAGTCGTACTTCTTTTTTTCTTTTTCTTTTTCTTTTTTTTTTCTCATGGCGAGAGAACAATGAAACGGAACGAACAAGACGAACAAGACGTGGAGGCAGTTGCAGAGCGAGGTCTGGTTAAAACAACGGCATTCTTTGGCGTTTGATGTTCTCTGTCCTTTGTCCTTGATCGTGGTTATGGTTATGGGGTCAATAAATGTATTTATTTATTCATGCCCTGTCCCGAACGCAGGGGTTTGAGAAGATAGTATGTATTTGTGGATAAACTGACTTCTGACTTGCATCAACTGCTTCATTTATGATGATTTGTTGATTTTCTATCTTCCTTCTTGTTTTCTTTTCTTCTTTATTTCTTTAAAAAAATTTTTTTTTTTTTTGGCATCTGTGTGTAGCGCCTTTCAGGAGCACATGATACAGAATATGTATTGCACATACAGAGATTCATGTGAAAAATTCTTGCTCACATTAAAAACATCATGAAAGTATAACATTAAGATAGTAAAAATAGCAAACTCTTAATATCAAGTTCTTCAACATAATCTATATACAATTATCTGCAATCTTCTTTATATTCATTTCCACCTTCTAGCTCTATATATTTTGGATATGAGT